GGGGGCCGGCCCGGGCCCCCCCCCAGACCCGGGCGGCACCGGCAGACGGAGCAGGGACCCCCCGGTGCTGGAGACCCCGACCCCTCCTCCAGGGCCTGGCCCGGCGCGGTGCGGGGTCCGGGTGCGGGTTAGCGGGGGGACCCAAAGGTGCCACTGGAGCGGCAGCGGGGTCCTGCGGGACAAAGCCCAAACGTGTGGGGACACACAAAAAACTCGCCAGGAGAAGCAGGGAGGGAGACGGAGCAGGGATGGGGATGGGGATGGAGAAGGAAGGGGGAAGGAGCAGGGACGGGGACGGAGCAGGGATGGGGATGGAGCAGGGACAGGGATGGAGAAGGGATGGGGATGGAGCAGGGATGGGGATGGGAAAGGAGAAGGGAAAGGGATGGAGCAGGGACAGGAAAGGAGAAGGGACGGGGATGGAGCAGGGACAGGGGTGGAGCAGGGATGGGGATGGAGAAGGGATGGGGATGGAGCAGGGATGGGGATGGGAAAGGAGAAGGGACGGGGATGGAGCAGGGACGGGGATGGAGCAGGGATGCTGCAGCAGCAGGCGGACAAGGAGACTCCAGACTCACTGACGGGGATGACATGGACAAGCGGGACCCTGAGAGCCGCCGGACGGCGTTCATGGGGAAGGTCCCTGCCGGGTCCCCGAGCCCCTGGGAAGCCCTGGCACAAGCAGCACCGCAATGGCGATGGCTGCGCCGAGCCGCCACACCGTGACCCCCGGGCCCTGCCGCCCCGCCTGTGCGCCGAGCCGCCACACCGTGACCCCCGGGCCCTGCCGCCGCGCATGAGGCCCCGGCTCCTCGCCGCAGCAGCAGCCGAGCCGAGGCGACGCGGCCAGGGATGAACTCTTCCCTCCCCACCGCCAAAGGCTGACGAGTCCCCGGGGATGGGGAGGATTCGGGATCGCTGAGCTGCTCCCCACGGCCTCGTCCGCCTGCGAGGGGACCCAGGGGCTGCAGCCGTGACACGCTCGCAGCCTCGGCAGCGGCTTTATTACCGACAGCAGCACGAAAACACCCTCTCCCGGTTACCGACACCATGGCAGCGGGAGGGCAGGAGGAGAAGCACGTCCCCGCTCCGCCATCGCGTGCCACGGTGGACGGGACAGGCCCCTCGCTGAGCTTCGCACCCAGCAGTGCCCGAAGGCTGCGGGAGACCCGGGGGCACCCCTGGGCCTGGGAGAGGGGACCTGCGGGCGCGAAGGGATCCCGCCGGGTGGGGAAGGACGTCGGCTGTCAATACAGCCGGCCGCTGGCACGGAAAACGCGCCGGTAGTTGGCACCCACGATGGGGCCTGCGGGCGTGCAGCGGGCAGGGCCGGAGCGGCCGCTGTCCTCAAAGGTCCTCTGCAAGGGGCCGGGGGCTCCTGGGGTGCAGTCGCCCACCCGAGAGCCGGGTGCTCCCCCACCCACGGGGGCCCCGCGTTAGGACCGGCAGCCTCGGCCGCGCCG